ACATACATAAATACATAATTACATACATACATACATACATACATACACATACATATCAATAACAATACATTACATGACAACATACATACATACATACATACGTAGCTGTACATACATATAAGTATGTAGTATATCAGCATCCTTGCTGTTTGTAATATACAGGGTACGCATTTATACGTAATTAAGTCTAATAATCCTGCAATTAAAATAATTACTTATATATTTAGTGCGTGTATATAGTCACTTTATGTACAGAATAATTCACAAATGAACACAACATGCACGTAACACGATGCAGAACTGTAGTGCAATAGGTGCAGTCTTTGTCAGTGTAGAAATGATAAAACTAGAAGCTGTGTAACGTTATTGTCATTACTGTCTTTGCTTGCACGACAGGATGACATAATGATTGTCATGGTACCATCACGCGTACACACGACATGAAGCACATCGCCATCACAACCTACGCATTTTAATCGCGATTAAATTCTATCCGATCAGGGCAGTCCTTATGAGTTTTGCCATATCGGATGCATCAAAGCATTTTATTCACCAAAGTACATATTAATAGTAATTTAATGGTATGCTGTATCACTTGTTGTAAGCCCCTTGTCCTTTCACATATTTCGCGCACTGTACCGTATCGAGCAAATCTACCAATGTTTAGAATTCTTAGCAGAATTTATTATTGGTCTTTATTCAGTAGTCCCGAAATTTTAATCGCGATTAGTAAGACTTTTTTGAACGGTTGAAGTTTACTCACGATGGAAATCCATTTTAACTGCGATTAGAATGTGTAGGGCATAGCAGCGATGGTTGCTCATAACGAATGTGCGCATGTGAATCGTTCGTGCGTACAAAGCATCAAGTTACGTACGCATATTCGCATCAGCCCAAACTATAAAAACGATATCGCTCTCTTCTCTATCTCGCTATTCTCTCTCTCTCTTCTCTCTCTCCTCTCTCTTCTCTTTCTCCATCTCTACTCTCTCTCTCTCTCTAACACACACACTCGCTCTCGATCTCTCTCTCTCTTTCTCTTCTCTCACTCTCTGTATCCTCGATATATATATATATATATAATATATATATATATATATAATATATATATATTATATAGTTATCAATTCGCGACACAATTGCATTTAAATGACTAACAGTAAACGCGGTTTCACAAACGAATCGACGAAATTAATAAAAATGAGAAAAACGACTCCATCTATGAAACAACGAAAATACGAAATACATCATCTTCGGTAGAACGAGTTTCCACTCTATCAGCAACGAAGATCGCGTAAAATATTACGTATAGACTATTGAAGGCCGTATACGGTCTACGCATGCGCATTCTGTGTCGCAGTGACATTAGCTTATCTTTCACGCTCACGTCGATAGTCTGACGTCATATGTGCAACGTCACATGTGCCTATATAATATATATATATATATATATATGTATATATATATAATATTATATATTATGTAAACGGATCCCGTTAGCAAGTGGACAATAGACCTTTTCACCAAGACTCACGAAACGAATTTCTTAGGAATTTCAGGCATGCGTGGATCTATTAAAACGAATCAGATTATGATGGGTACATCAGACCCACACGTACCGGTGACGCAACCATTAGTCATCGAACCTGGGTAACACGCTCAGCCAATCAGAAATTAATTAAAATGAAACGCACACGTTCGGCGAATGTAGGAGCGGAAAGGTCTATTTCCACAGTAACGTCACACACGTGACGTCATACGGCGACGATTCGTCATCACTATAATCGAACCTAGTAGTCAATATATTATAATATCAGGAAAGCGTGACAAAACGGTCAGCAGTTTCCAGTCGAAACATGAACAGAATTACGGAATAATTACGGAGTGAAAACACGGCGAGAGACGATCTCGTTCCGCCGCTTCGATTCGTCGGTAGAAAGTCATTTCGTCGGAATGTGTGAATACTCGGCCGTCGTCGTGTGATTGTACAGACCTTGCGCCATTAAGTGCAGCGCGAGCCCGTTGCGCACGCCCTGCGACTTCTTGATCTTCGCTCGTTTATTCTGGAACCAGATCTTGATCTGACTCTCGTTCAGCGCCAGGTCCTTGGCCAGCTCCTGGCGGCGCTGCTCGGTCAGGTAGCGGTTCTCCTGGAATTCCTTCTTCAGACGCGACAGCTGCTCGTTCGTGAACGCCGTACGTGGGCGCTTCTCGCTCGGCTTCTTCGACTTCGCTCTGCGCGTGCGCGGTCCTGGAAGGTCAAAGCGAATTGCGAGAAAGGAAAACATTGGATCGGTAATAAATTGTAAGGCACAATTTGAGTTCATAAATAAATAATTATCAAAAATAATTTAAGATTTGTGATACGGATAATCACATGTTCGGAGCCTGAGACAACGTTTGCCACTTCGCCCCCCCCCCTATTTCCCAAGAGTTATTCTAGCATAAATAAGTTTTGTTGTTGATGCCTGGTGTTCATTTTGAAACACTTCACAGAGAGAGAGAGAGAGAGAGAGAGAGAGAGAGAGAGAGATTCATCATCATCATGATGATGATGATGATCATCATCATCATCATCATCATCATCATCATCGATCATTGCATATATACACGCGTGCTTGATGCTATTTCTGTGCGTCTTAAATGATGACATTTCTAGGTTGCGTTAGAACGCGTATCTCAAGTTCTACTCAAAGAGAACCAGTCGTGCTGTTAACTACGACGATCTACCGCCTACATTCTTACATCACCGCGTGTCTGCAGTTTTTCCTAATACACAACGATGCACAACGCGTTACTAGCGTATTCATACACGACCTAGCGTACTTGTGTACGTGCGCAGTAAGGAAGTGCTGTCGTGTCAAACTCCAACCGTATAACCGATATTCCTCGGCGTTTATCTTCGTAAAACTCTGTAACGTAAACTTTCTTTCTCTCGTTCGGGAGAAGACCTGAGCGCGCTCGCGAATTCTTCGATAATTTATTTTCCTCCGGTTATAATTAATGTTATTGGTATGCTCGTGCTAGCGTAATTACGTCATAATCCCCTACACTCATTACGACCGCCATGTTTTAACTAACAAGCCGCGCTGACGGGTCTTCTGGTGGCGCGCGAGCGCGTCTGCCCGCCTGCTTACGTCACCGCACCTCCGGAGCGCGATCAGACGACGGAAGCAGAAGATAAATGAGAAAAATGGAAAACATCTTGCACGTCTTCGCCGTGCTGTAAAATGTCGCTCGCTATACTCCGAGATCGAGAGTCGAGCGCTGTGAATTATGCGTGCACTCGGGTGACTAGGCGATGTCTTATATATGTGAATGCCTGCCCGCCATAAATTATCTCACATTAGAATGGCAGAGATTTAGGAATATTAATTTTTTTATTATTAAGGTTATTTTAATTCTAGAACATGAATTAGCAAGACGTATACGTTAGCCGATGCCTGTAGTTGTCGATAGTCGGGGCTGGATGGGTAGGGTGGGGCAAGTGGGGCGAGTGGGGGCAGGGGAGGGAGTAGGGGTGGGGGAGGATTGAAGGTGGGGGAGAGTGGAGCGGGAGGAGGAGTAGGGCGGGGAAAGGAGTGGGGCCGGGGGAGGAGTGGAGGGGCGGGGAGGGAGCTGGCGGACGGGGGAAGGGAGTGAGAGTGGGGGACGGGAAGTGGGGCGGGGAGAGGAGTGGGCACGGGGTAAAGAGAGATGAGGGTGGGGAAGAGAGTGGGGGGGGGAGAGAGTGGGGTGGGGAACAGGAGTGGAATGGGGGAGATGGGGTGGTGGGAGGCGTTTACTGATATCGTAACTGCGAAAGATAAGAAGAAGCGACTCATAGATTTTTGACGCAGCTCTCGGATTGAGGTACGTGAGGACTGCATGGATGGGGGTAATCAAGCGCAGTTAATAGAGTAAGGGTGGCGGTCGAACGGGTCTACGGAATGAGAATGGAGTGTTGTAAGGGCTGAGGCGGAGGGCGCATTATGTAAAGAATATCGAGGGGTGCGTGGCTTGACGAGGTGAGATGGAAGATGGGTCGTGAGGAAGAGGAGGGGTGGCTGTAGGAGTGTAGTGGATGATGAAATGTGGTGAAGAGTAGGTCAGGAGTTCAGGTAGAGGGTGGGGTGTAGGAATAAGGTGGACGGTGGGTGTATGGGTAAGACTAGAATGGGGGTGTAATGCAGGGTAAAGGGTGTAGGGTGCGGTGTAAATGGATAAGGTGATGGGGGTGTGATAGGTAAAGCGCAGGAGGATGGGTGTATAGAGATAAAGCTAGAATGAGGGCTGTATGGGTAAGGCAGAGGGCTGAAGTGTATGAATAAAGCGATGGAGCGGAGGTGTATGAGGTAAGCGCAAAGGGTGGGTGCTATGGATGAGCGGTGGATGGGTGTGATGGAAGGAGAGGTGGGTTGTACTGAAATACAGGTTGGAAGGCGTGTTATGGGTAAAGCGCAAGCGAGGGTGAAAGTGTCAATGGGACTAGAAGGTGGAGTGAGTGTGGTATGGGTAAGGCAGAAGGATGAGGGTGTATGAAATAAGCTTAGATGGGGATGTATGCCATCGGGTAAGGCAGCATGGTGGGTGTTAAGGATAGCTAAGAGGGTGGGTATGGTAAAGCCAAAGACATGGCAACGGTGATTTTAATATAGGCCGGGAACTGTACTGTAAGATGGTATCGTGGTTAGATGGAACCAATAGGAAAACACATGATGGATAAGGATTTAAACGTGAGGTGTAAGAGTTAATGCAAAGTGTGTGGTGTAAACGAGGAAACTATGGAGCTTAAATACATCGTGAGATGTGTGTTGACAGTGATGAGCGCGTAGTGTAGATAGTTATGCTGAAGTGTGGAAGGCAAAGCTATGGTGCGAGTGTGGTGCCGAATCTTATATAGTGATGTTTGTGCACGCGGCGCGCAAATGGTGTGTATTGTGATGTGTGAGTGTGAGTGTGTGGTGTGTGTGTGTGGTGTGTGTTGTGTGTCTGGTGTATGTGTGTGTGTGTGTGTGTGTGTGGTGTGTGTAGGTGTGTGCTGTGTGTGTGTGTGTGTATATGTATGTGTGGTGTGTGTGTGTGTGTGTTGTGGTGTGATGTGTGTAGTGTGCTGTGATAAATGTGTGTATGCGTATGTGGTGTGGATAGCGTAATGTGTGTGTGTTTGAGTCGGAGCGGCTTAAAGATAAAACGTTTAAGATATAGCGACCGGACGAAGTTTCATCGTCTATAAATAAAGAAACGCACAATATGCCGATTGTAATGAAGCACGTAGACTCGCGTGCATACAGCGATCATTCAAGTGGCAATTTTTTCTTCTCGAGAAATCTGCTAATATGCGAGAAAAAACCGTGCGTGCCCACTAGTATGACGATAAGGAATTATTCGAGGCGGCCAAAGCTGCCCATTAGTTATAACCTTCCTGCGAACAATCAGAGTGACTTAGAAACACGACAGTAACAAATTGTCGAGTCTCTTTGATTTACATAAGGATAAACTTAAGTGTCAGTTCTGCGTTACGCGCGAGATAAATTTAGAGTTTTGATCCTTTCGACGTGCTTTTTCGATTATCGTCTCAAACGCGCGCAGATATCTTAGGGACGTTGGTTTTGTTTAATTGCTGCTATGAACTTGATCAACCCTTTTTTCCTGTTCGGTCGGCCAGAACTGCACTATCGATATCATGAATGAATCACCACGGAGAGTATAGAAACACTGAAAAGCGGACGCCATTTATTAACTCCAGAAGACCAATAACGATTAGATTTGTTCAGCAGCACAAATATATAGATATAGCCTATATTAAACATATGTAGTTCACAAGCGTATAAATTTGTAACTGTGATGGCAGCGCGCAATTCCTTCTTCCGCGAGCAGGTAGAGAAATAATGCTTTCACATTCGTGACAGAAAATTGATAAATACTACAGCTTAAATATGATAATCCAATAACAGCATAAATATACACGTAGATTTACATACTAGATTTAAAGGAGGCGGTCGTTCAATTTTTAACCGAGATACGACATCACATTCGATTAACGCTACAGATAGTATTATATGAAAGAAGCGTAAAAGAAGACCAATGATAGGCCGTTCTTTATACGCTCCTTGATTAAATATATCACATACAGATACAATACCGACATACCATGACAACATACTAACATACATACATACATACCATACATACATACATACATACAGTACATGAAACATACCAACTAACATACAGTACAATACACTACAATACAATACATCACATACATCAAGTACATACATACATAACACAATACAATACATACACGATACCATACATACATACATTACATACATAACATACATCACGATGAACATTACATACAATACAGTATCATATACAGTTACATACATACATACATACATACCATACATGACATACATACATACATACCATACATACATACAACATACAATACATACACATACAATACCCATACATATCATCACCAATAAACATAAATACATACTATACGATACATACCCACTACATAAGAATACATACATACAATACAATAACATACATACGATACCCATAATACATCAAGTACATGACAAACATAACATAACAATAGCCATACATACAATACAAGTACCCAATACATACATAACAATATACATAAACATACCATAACCTAACATACATAACATACAATACATACATAAACATACATTAAACATCAATACATAT